CGTATATAACGCGATTCTAGCCTGAGGTGCAGATTTTCTCGCTCCAGATCCGGTCGCTCCAGATTTGCGACTGATCTCTGACTCAACCTGATTCGGGTCTGATCTCTGGTCCGATCTGCGTCTGTTCTCTCATTCGATCTTATCCGCGTCTGATCTCTGACCCTATCTGCTCCGCGTCTGTACTCTGATCCTATGTGCTCCGTGCCTGATCCCTGATCCGATCTGCTCCGCGTCTGATCTCTGGTCCGATGTGCTCCGTGTCTGATCCCTGATCCGATGTGCTCCGCGTCTGATCTCTGATCCAGTCTGCTCCGCGTCTGATCTCTGATCAAATTTGCTCCGTGTCTGATCTCTGATTCAATCTGCTTCGCGTCTGATCTCTGATCCGATCTGCTCCGCGTCTGATCCCTGGTCCGACCTGCTCCGTGTCTGATCCGCGACCCCGTCTGTTCCGCTTCTGATCTCTGATCCAGTCAGCTCCGCGTCTGATCTCTGATCAAATTTGCTCCGCGCCTGATCTCTGATCCAATCTGCTTCGCGTCGGATCTCTGATCCGATCTGCTCCGCATCTGATCTCTGACCCTATCTGCTCCGCGTCTGATTCCTGCCTGATCCGATCTGCTCCGTGTCTGATCCCTGACCCTATCTGCTCACTGCGTGACCGCCTCCGTCCCGAAGGCCAGGTCGAATAGCTTAGTTAGGTCAGGAGGGAAATCCATAACATTTGCGCATCATTGGTCGCACATTGTTGCTTCCAGGAGTCGGACGCAAAGAACATGCCAAAAGTGGGGGAGTAAGGATGTAGCGGACAGCAATAAAATGTGGTCACAGTACAAAAGCCATAAAAAGTACGGAAGTTACTCGGTGCGTTACATTTATAAACATGGGGCTGTTACTCCGTTACTCGGAAACGTAGTTTCGTCACGTAAGGGAGCAATGGAGTAACTGAACATCTCTAGAGATGCCATTTATAGGAAAGTTTATTTAGAAGTCGTTGATCTGAGCACACCCACCGCAATATAGGTCTTTCTAGTTGCGGCCAGCAGTAGATCACTTATGCATGCATATACAATCAATATATGTACAATAAAATAGAGAGATAGTGCAGAGAAGAGAGAGCACGCGAGCAAGAGAAAGAGACAGAGAGAGAGAGAGAGAGAAAGACAGAGAGAAAGAGAGTGAGAGAGAGAGAGAGAAAGAGAGAACAACATACAATATAGAAGGTGTTCTGTATATTTCATTTACACAGAAGCGTAGTAAGGGATAAGTTTTCCAGCGGAGGAATACTTTAAGTCACACCATTGTAGACACATTTTAATTAGTTGGAGAGGCCACCTCGCGGTGCGACTGGCCGCTGGCCAGAAGTGTGCGCTTATTTAGACCTGCGCCTCCGGTGGGGGAGGAGACCCAGGGCTATCTGGAAACCCGCGGTGTGCACCGAACGTCGGCCTCTCCACGGGTGTGGGGGGAGGGGGGGCGGTCCGTCGAGACTGGATCTGTTGCAACCCGCTACTGCAGCACCACACGCCAGCCGTCCTGGCCCCAGACGAGACGACTCGTCACGAACCCATCACGGGGTCGTCACGTGCTCGCAGCGCGAGTCGGTAGCCGTGACGGCGTCACGATGTGGACCGGTCGGCGGAGAGGGGCTGGGTCGGGGCCCCACTCTGGTCTCCCGCCACAACTGACGGCTAGGAGCGTCAGCAATGGCAGACGCTCTGGCCCGGACCGACAGCGAAATGCTGGCTCCTCTGTCAGCCTATACAGGGGCTCCTCTGCCAGCCCTTGCAGACGCTCTGGCCCGGACCGACGGCAAAACGCTGGCTCCTCTGTCAACCCGTACAGACGCTCTGGCCCGGACCGACGGCCAAACGCTGGCTCCTCTGTCAGCCCGTACAGACGCTCTGGCCCGGACCGACGGCCAAACGCTGGCTCCTCTGTCAGCCCGTACAGACGCTCTGGCCCGGACCGACGGCCAAACGCTGGCTCCTCTGTCAACCCGTACAGACGCTCTGGCCCGGACCGACGGCCAAACGCTGGCTCCTCTGTCAGCTTATACAGACGCTCTGACCCGGACCGACGGCGAGATGCTGGTTCACCTGTCAGCCTATACAGGGGTTCCTCTGTCAGTCAGTGCAGACGCTCTGGCCCGGACCGACGGCGAAACGTTGGCTCCTCTGTCAACCCGTACAGACGCTCCCTGGGCGAGGCGTTCTCACGGAATCATGTGCACTGCACGATCGGAGGTGATGCAATAGACGCACGCGACGGGAAATAAAGCTGGCATGCATCGGTAATAGACCGCCATATGTTGCAGCGAGCTGTTGGGCTTTCGTTCAACTATCATACCAGTGATGTGTATCTTTCACTTGCGTTGCAATGACTTGGGCATGAGATGTTTGGCGTTCATACGAGAGGTTCATAAAATTCAATCTCATCGGAAACATGAGCACGCAACGCGACGCATGAGAATCATAGCAGCGATTAAACGGCCTTTTGA